ATTTAAATGTACGTCTATTCGTAATATCTGCCCCGATATAATCAATCTCCGCCATTAATAAAATAACATCATTAGCGTTTACTCGTGATATCGTCCTACAATGAATCGTGAGATTTTACTTTCGTTCGCGTGTAATATCACTTATCTTTATATCTTTTCCGGTTGGACAAACGCTCTTGTACGCGAATTCACTATCCTTTCCATCTTTTAAAGCATTACACACAGCTATCAATTTTCTCATTCGTTCGTATTCCTTTTCTATCCGAGCCAATTGAATTGCATTACCGTTTGATCAGCAATCGATTCCTTCTTTCTTTTACACTTGGCACGATTCCGACACAATGACTCTATAGCTATACGCCGCGGAATCGCGAATGAAATAAGAAGCCGCGATGGATTGGCAGTTTGTCTCGGGCGAGGTACATTCTTGTTCTCCGATTCTGTTTAAACTCCACAGTTTAAAATTCTCCGCCGGGGGGTTCGATTTAAATGAATAAAAATGTTTCGGTTGGCTCTCTTTCACATTTATCGCGACAGAAAAATCGCGCGCAGAGATCGCCCGATAGAAAGGGCAGAAATGCATTTCGAAAGTATCGCGTACGCGCCATTGATATCCGCAATGTCCATTTCTCTTTTGACGCCGCCAGTCACGAAGAATTTATGCCCCATGGTGGAATTCCCATACGGTTGCGTATTTCACTGAATATCGTCGGTTCGTCACGCTGACGTGTGCGATCAAAGTGGAAGTTCAGCGGTGCCATTAAATTCTGATTAAATTTTGATTAAATCCTAGAGCCTGTACCAAAAGGTATCGATCTATTTGCAATGCGATCGGATCGTATCGCGCTTTTTTTTCTCACAAAAGCACAGACAGAGATAACGCATCGCGGTTTCGATGCGAGTGCCACTAAAATTTTATAAAGCCTCATGTGTAGCTTGTTAAAAAATTAACTAAGGGATTATATAGCTGCCGTAATCGCACAAGCGTGGACATTCCATTCTCTCGCGAATGCTGTTGAAAATATTTTGAAATTTGTAGCGCCATTAGCATTCTGTCGTGAAAATGCCAGTAACATAAATTAAGTATCTTGTTTCGAGTATTACAGTGAACACATTATTTGTCAATTATCGTGAAAATTATTGTGAAAATCTATAAATTTAAAATAATGACCACGTCGAGTTTTATCTATATTGTATAATCTATATTACTTTATCTTCTAAATTAGTGCTTTATTGATTTAATTGTATTGAAGCACGTGGAAGAGAGAGAGAGAGAGAGAGAGAGAGAGAGAGACAGAAATGACACAGAAGTAGTTTTGCCGATACTTCTGAAGCTATTTCTGCAATCGACGATTCAAACCCTGTTCTTAAGAGTGCTGACAGAGTTGATATCATCATAGAGACTTCGCGCAAGAAATGTCTTTCGCTTTACTATTAATGTTTAGGAGCGAGAATTTGAGAGACACTGTCCAGCCGGAAACTAGGTCCCGCGTGTTATGAGAACTCGACTCGGTTTGCGTGGGTGTGCGAAAGGTATACATATATGCACATATGTGCATCTAAACGTCCTATCGATTCGGCGAGATGGCCATTGCATTTCAATAACAGCCACGTAGATGGACTTCGTTCTATATACAGGTTGTACTTCGTATTCGTCGACTGGTGGTCATCGCGGTATTGCTCGCTGTATACATTATATGGTTTGAGGATCATTACGAACGTTTCGCGGTGCGAGTAATATTAAAAATTTGCAGCTTAAATGTGGAATTTATCCGAGAAAAACTATGGAATTTAAAAGAAAATATATATAAGGAAATAATATGGTTATGGTAGAAATGTCATGACGGAATAATTAATGAATAAATGATGCAATTTCAAATATAGATTTTCAAATTATGATATTTTATAATTGGCATATTTTTGTGTAGTTTGTATATTTTTATAAATTTTATAAATGTTTGCATATTACCTTTTAATCAATGGAAGATTAAAGGAGAATAAAACTATCTTACTCGGCAACTTCCGTAAGGCATTAGAATTTTATTATCGGCACAAGGTTCTTAATTTTTTAACGGCCACGCTTTTAGCGAAAAACGTATCTTGATCGAAAGATATTAAAAATGTATGAACTTGGACGAAAAAAAGCGGCGGCCTTTTCTCAATAATCTCGAGTTATACGTAATATCGAGATAATGCGTATGAAAGGGAAAAGTTTCTAGTGCGAGAAAGGAAAATATCGATCGTGAATATAACAAGTATTAGACCATTATGTCGGATTGTGAGGAAGGTGCCTATTGTGCGTTCAAAGTCGCGCGTTCCTGCCAGGAAAAACTCGACGGAATTACTCTGCGCGAGTGGTCTGCGAGGAACACAATGCCAAAAGCTGATCCAGATAGTTACGACGATTGAATGCGCGACTGGGTGAAAAAAAAAAAGGGAGTGAAACGCTGACATTTTCCGTCGCCGATATACTGAAGCCGTACCAGTATTCATTCACGAAAATAACTAGCCGCTTGCTCTTCTCGCTGCATTCCTCGCGACGATTCACTAACAAATCGTTGATTTCCCATGCGGTTCTCGGCTCGGTTTGTTTGGGGGCTTATGGAAATGCACTGCACGGGGAGGTGTGGGGGGGGGGGGGGGGGAAATA